CTACCACTCAGATGCTCAGTAGCTGCAAATGCAGCGTGGTTGCTAGATTGCCAGGCATAGGTGCAGGATACTTTCTCATCTTCACAGAAAGTTCTGTCAGGCAGCACTAGCAGAGATTGTACGAAGTGATGTGAAGTGACACAGAAGTGCATTGCGAAGTCCCAAGCAGGTTTCCCTGTGCCTCTCCCTATGGCTCAGCCATCTTTCCATCTCCTAGGTGCCTGTCCCTGCCTATCTTTGCTAGACTTGCTTATTCACAACTTATCTTCTCTTCTCCTTCAACCACTGTGGTGTGCTTATCTCCCCAGGAGCACCCCTGGCTCCCCTTCCCGCATGTAGACAGCGGTTTACACAGTGCTTTGAACGATGGATGGATTTAGTGAGCGTTTGTTAGCCAGCTGGGACGGCAGTTCCGGTCAAATGATTGGGAATATTTGCCTGAATCTAGGGAGTTCTAAGTGGCTGGTGGCAGGGGATATGAGAGAGGGAGAGGGAGAAAGGAGAGGGAGAATGAGACCCAGAGACTCAGAGACAAAGACAGAATTTTTGGCTGAAGTTACAAGGGAGTTCTAAATGGCTGGTAGCGGGAGATGTGAGAAAAGGAGAAAGAAAAGAGACAGACAGACAGACAGATCCCAGGAAAGAAGGAACAGGAGTTACTAGAGAGGCTGAAAAGAGTAAATCAGGGAGACAGTCGTGACCAAAACTCTCATACTTGTCACCAAAATTCCTCAGCCCATCCCCCAAGTCTCCCCACAACCAGAGGAACTTCCCCACAACCAGAGGAACTTCCCGGGAAGTCACAGATGTAGGCGACAGCTATCTAAAGCTGTGAAAGAAATCCACAAATATTATTACATGATAAACAAGCATGAAAGACCGGTCCATGGGAGACATGAAAATGAAGGTTCTGGTGAGGAGCACAATGTAGGATGTCCTCTCGCTGGGCCAGCTGGTTCGAGTTCCATTTTATGAGTAGCGTGTGAATTCCCGCGCCCTTGCTGAATTAGCAGCAGCATCGCACATTGGTTTTAAGGCTCCCTCTCGTATAGGAACATCATAACGCTTTCTAATTGGGGCCTGATAAAAACGTAGCATTACTTGTAGGTTCCTGAGAGAAGTGAGTTGTGAAATTGGGTTTTCATTAAACCTAATGATGGAAAATTAAGTATAGTGCGTCTGGTGAAATGGGGTGTGATAAAAGGCATCACTTCCGCATTATCGAAGGTTAATAAGGGAATAGGTGAGCCAAGATACATGGGACAAAGGGAGTCCAATAGTTGGATTAATAAACCTTGAAAGTCCCTTGGTTGTGAGTCTTCATAGCATCATTTGCAATGCCACTGACGCTGTTACAAATGTTACAGCAAATACGAACGGTTAAATCTCAGGCGCATTTTATTTTCCATACCACTGTTAGTTTTGCTGACATCAAGTTTACAGTCTGTCTAACAATGTGTTAAGGGAAAATGATTGGGCACCTTACAAAACTTGCCAAATATCCATTCCTAGGAAGCCTGCTTCTGGCAGGCTGTTGGTCTCCCATGCAACCCATACCCCAGGTCCTCTGGGAGAGGAAGGGGTCTCTGAAGGTACCTGTGTCCCTTATAGGAGCTATATAGGCTGGAAGAGTAGGTTCCGGGCCCTGACTATCATTTCTTCTCCTGGGAATCATGAGGTATGGTATCTAGAGACTCAAACTCCAGTGTTTTCTTCCCTCTCCATCTCCAACTCCATCACAGCATCGCAGGAGTTCTGCTCCCTGGAAGATTGCTTCTGTTCCATGGCAGCCCGGACACCTACAAGAAAGAGTGTGAGCCTTAATTCTGCAAGTCTTCCACAGCTTTACACTGGCTTCAAGAGTCTCCACGTTCCCAGCCTTCCTGGCTCTACCTCATCTTGTCTCTTCCAGCCTTTACTCTCAATCGGTCTCTCTGCTCTTACCCAAATGTGCCTTCACCTTCAAGGTGAAGCATCATGCTTTGATGGTTCGACTTCTCTGTTTTCCATTCCAAACCCTCAAGCCTGGGGAGGAGAAGTCTCATTTCTCTCTTGTCTCACCTTTGCCTAGTGTAGTCTTAGCACAGAATGAGTTCGATCATGAGAAAGGAAACAGCCCTCACTTTCTAGGCATCACATTTAATCAATCCCAGGAGAGGAAAAAAAAGTCAGTAGTGTTTTTCTTACCTATAGCTAGGAAGGTTTTGCTTACATCTCACCTAGATCTTTCTTCTTTCTGTGTAAATCTGATCCTTGAGTCTTTCTATTAGCACTGAAGGGCCAGCTCTGCCTTGGCTATGTTTACTGACCACATTAAGCTGTTGCTGCTGCTTTTTTTTTTTTTTTTTTAGTCCTGAGGCTTGAACTCTGGGCCTGGGTGCTATCCCAGAGCTCTTTCATTCAAAACTAACACTCTACCACTTTGAGCCACAGCTCCACTTCCTGTTTTTCTAGCAATTTATTAGAGATAAGAGTTTGAAAGACTTTCCTACCCCGCTGGCTTTGAACCACGATCCTCAGATTTTAGCCTCCTGGAGTAGCTAGGAAGACAGGCAGGAGCCATCAGCGCCTGGCCTACATGAAATGTTTTTATGTTCCAGCCGATCAAACTAGAAGGCCTTTCCCTCTCCCTTGGTGAAGAAAATAACTTCAGAAAGACAGGGGGATAGAAAAATAAGACACATTGGCATCCCCAGACACAGATGGCAGCAGGAGGGGGACCAACACTGGCATTGGCCCCGAAGTGCTGGGCTTCCTGGCATGCTGGTCAGGCAAAGTGGGGCCATTTTCCTCCTTACCAGGAATAGCCTGTGATGCCAGCCCACAGGAGTGGGGTACACTGTCAGTCACATACAGAGTCTATGTCTAATGGATTATTGTGACACAAGAGACATGTAAGTTGAAGAGAACATGGCTCTTGAAAAGCCGAGTTGCAGAAAGCAAGCATGTGTGTGAAGTCTCCCAGGGAGTGAGTTAGGAACAGACGTGTAGGAGGTCTGCATGGTTGCCTTGCCACATCTGGAAAGATCTGGGTGAGGTCCATTGGCCGACTTATCTAGAAGTTCTCACCTGTCACAATGAGAATGCCCCAGGGCAGACCCTGCCCAGGGCATTGAGACTGGTATGGGAACCACCAATAGCTGCTTCTGGGGAAGAGAAGCTAATCCAGAAGACCAATGACAGACTGGCAAGGAGTTGGCAGGCCCAGGATGTGTTTTTATAGGTCTATGGAAATACAAGTAGTTCAAACCCAATTTGAGCTGTATCAGTTTCCAGAGTGACCAACCCAACAGTTGTTAAAGTAACTTATTGAGTATAAAAGATTCTTGTCATAGGGAGAATCTAACTATTCTGTTAAGGAGAGATGCTCAGAAGGAAGTACCTGAAGGAAGAGGTTCACAAAGAGCTGCAAGGTGGGTTCAGAGATTCTCCTGCATCAGCAGGATGAAATTAGGACAAGAGGATAGGAAGAAATGGTCATTAGTATACAGCTCTGGCTACAGAGAGCAGCTGGAGGATTAGAGTCCTGGCTACCTGGATGCAGTTCTTCCCATGATATAATCCAAAGGAAACAGCCCAATAAAAGAGTGGAGTCACAGGGATATGGGCCAGATGGTCCTGATCTCTAGGTACCTGAGGTTTTCCCCATCTACAGACAGGCATCAGAGACCATAGCTACCCTACTTCCTAAATAGAAGGCTGTCTGGCTTCTCACTGATTCTGGGATTAGCTGGCAATCTATTATTGCTATTTATTTGCATAAGATACTAAGAAAAACTAAAGTGAACTTTGGCAACATTGCGGAGAAGTGAGAACACTTACACACTACTATGGGTATTGTGAATTTGTAACATCATTTTTCAAAGCAGTAAAGAAGTTTCTGAAAAAAATGAACTATCACACTATCTAGTAATCTTACTACTGAGAGTGTATCCGAACAACTGAAGTGAGTATCTTGAGATGTCTGCACTTCCATGTTCATTCTGTGTTCATAAGACCGCAATACAGAAATAATATGTGTTTATGAGTAGATGGATGAATGTTCAAAATATGGTATAAATATACAACTGGAGAACTGTTCAGCCATCAAAAGGAAGAAAATAATTTATGATAAACATAGATAAACAGACCAATAAATATTGATAACACATTGACAGCATTGATAAACACTGATGTAGTATGCTCTCTCCTTTTATGCATGTTCTAAAAGTGATGAAAGGGTCACACTGGTCAACATTTACTGTTAGGAAGAATAGAGGCCAGTGCTCTCTAACAAAGGAAGGCCACTATAGATAGAATAGAGGCCAGTGCTCTCTAACAATGGAAGGTCACTACAGATAGAATAGAGGCCAGTGCTCTCTAACAATGGAAAGTCACTATAGATAGAATAGAGGCCAGTGCTCTCTAACAATGGAAAGTCACTATAGATAGAATAGAGGCCAGTGCTCTCTAACAAAGAAAGGTCACTATAGATAGAATAGAGGCCAGTGCTCTGTAACAAAGGAAGGTCACTATAGATAGTCATACTGTATCTTCAATTCCACAACTACTTAAGGAAATTATTCTTCTGATAAAGCAAGGAATTAAATAACAGATACATTAAGAACTCTGATTTAATTATTATACCATAAACACATGTACTGAAATACCACATTGTGCCCCATAAATATGTTCAAAAAGCTTAGAGGAAGAACCACGAAGGGCAAGGAATGGCAACTCACCTGACACTTTGTCTTCACTCTTGTCGATCGGAGCATTTCAATGGAAATGAGCCAAGGGTTACTGTGTGTAGTGGCTTGTGTCTTGCCTTAATATTTAAACCTACCCCATAGCCAGGCCAGGGAAGCAGTGTGTCCCTAAACTTCCTGTCATTTCCTGATCACCAGAGTTGAGTCCCCAGCTAAGCTCCTCTGCCCTTCTCAAGGTCATCTAGGGATGATGTGGACCAAAGGTAAGGCTCCTGAGGTGATGGCTGTTCTGCCTCCTTCTCTTTGAAGCAGATGGCAGCCGTGGCGAGTTGTCTCAGCCCACCCTCACCATCCAGACTCATCCCTACCGAACCTGCGACCCCGTGGAGATGAGCTATCCCCGCGACCAGTTCCAGCCTGCCATCCGGGTGGCCGACCTCCTGCAGCACATCACGCAGATGAAGAGAGGCCAGGGCTACGGGTTCAAGGAGGAATATGAGGTAAGAAGGCAGTCTGCAGCAAGACTCCCTGACAGATCACAGGTACATCTGGGGGCCTAAAGCCTTGCTCCTGGAAGTGTGGTCTCCAACCAGAAGCAGCAGCCTTACCTGGAAATATGGTGAGAATGTAGCCCTCAGGCCCACCAGACACACTGAGTCAGAATTCGAATAGGAAGCACAACTTTTGGTGATTTGTGTCTGCATAAAATATTTCATGCATCTTGCATCATGCCAAGAGATTTCAATATGTCCTTCCATATCTTTCTGTCCTCTCATCTCACTGATCTCTGATATGCTCTCTCTCTCTCTCTCTCTCTCCCTCCCCTTCTCCCTCCTTCTCATCTTTTCTCTCTCCCTCCCTCTCTCCATTTGAATAACCCAGTAATCTCAAAGATCTTTACATTTTGGGGTCACATCATCCTTCAGTATGAGGATTAAAATGTCTCAGTTCTCCATCCCCCATGCTATAGAAAGCCTTTACACCTCCCCTGCTGGTGATTCCTGGCGTACATGCATGCATGTAGTGGTTGTTACCTTGGCATGGAGGAAAAACAGACAAGGGTTGTAGCCAAGTATATAAAGTGCTTGAATTCTTCGTGTTATTGCGCTTTAAGTCCTTAAGGATCCACACCACTGAGGAGGAGTCCTTGCAAAGCTCTGGTTCTGTCAGATTGCTCTCCACTCCCCTACCCAAAGTTGTTTCCGTTTCCGTGTCTTCCATCATTCTACCTAGCATGCAAGGCAAGGACTCCCATGTTCTACTTGTCATGCAGAACAAGTTAACTTTTTGTCTGTCTCATTCCTTTTCATTTCAAACCTTGCCTGTTGCACTTCATCTTTTACCAACAAAAGAAGAACCAAATAGAAGGAAAACCCTCTGACCATGTTTTCTTAATCCAAAGAAAAGCTCCCTCCCAAAAGGAATTCTGATGTACATGGAAGCCAGCTGCAACCAGATTTGAAAACAATCATTACTTTTCTTTTCCCTTTCCCTTTTCCTTTCCTCTCTCCCTTGCTTCCTTCCTCCTCTGAATATCTCCTGAACATCTTCTTTGTGAGCACTTATCTTTGTTGTTTATTCTTTCCTTTCTTCTGTCCTTCCCTTCCTTCCTTCCCTCTTTCCTCCATGCCTTCCTCCTTCCCTCCCCACCCTTTCTTTCTGTCACATAAAGTACCTGCCCCAGGTATGTTCAGTTCACTTTCATTGTGTGCAGTAAAAACTCACTGATTCAGGCTCCATACATTTGGCATTGTTGATAATAGCAGGCTACATTTATCCCACAGACTGTATTTTGAGAAAGAGCTTACAAAGTAACATTTCTAAAGTCATGTGAAATCATGAAACTGTGCGAAACTTGGGGAGCCCAGACAGCTGGTTTTCCAGTGCAGCATGCTGTATGATCTTAAGATATCATTTTTGCTATCTTTAAAGTTCTTTATTAGTTGAATGGAGAGTTTGGATAAGGTGATTTCTAAGGACTTGTCTGGTCTTTAAACTTTACAAGAGTATAAAATGTGATAAGGGGAATGTTTTGACACATTTATGAAGACAAAATATTTATGCCAATGGATATGAGTAATTATCAGAAGAATCAGCCATTTCAAACATGGTCTAAGTAAAATAACACTTGTCATATATTTAGTCTACAGACTGTGGTGGAATGCTAGAGTAAGAATGAAAGGAGTTGATACTGTTATCTCACATCACTGGCTCTTATTTCCTGAAGGGATGAATGTTTCTAATTTCTGGGGATGATGATGATGATGGTGGTGGTGGTGGTGGTGGTGTATGTGTGTGTATATTTATATACTGATGTACAAGGTTGAAGCTGTGTTTGTTGAACACGTGACAGAAGAGGGTGTGTTGTTCATACAGCCTCATTCAATAATAAAATGGTATGATCAGTCATTAGTCATGTTTCAAACAACATTTGGAAACAGAAAGAGGGACAAGTGGCCAAAAGCTAAGAAACATCTGTTCTAAAAATTTGCTACCTTAGTTTGAGAACTGAAATACAAATGTACTTCAATAATTCAGTCTGTTTCCATCCAGAGTATTTCTTTAAGAGTATCTCACTGGTGAAATTGGTGAAAATCCTTATTTTACCTGATCGTACCTTCCAAATATTGTAGCTGGAAAAATGAAGCAAGCAAATTCTATTACTTATTGAACTGAAATTCCTAGCTTCTAGTGAAGAGCATCTTCTGATTAACCATAGGTTAATCAGAAAAAAAAATCATGAATGAAAATGTGCTACAGTTTCCATGATGTTCCTGTCTGCTTTCTTAGAATATAGCTGGATTTTGCATTGATTATAAAAGCTCCTGTTATGTCTAAATCACCATCCTGAGCATGAGTCACAGATCAACTGGAAAACTCAGAGTAGATGTAAGACTCTAGAGCACTAGTTCCCTCCCATACCAGCCTATGTGCTGTCTGTTTTCTGTCATGTCCCTGTCTGGTGCCATATTTTTCATAAAAACGAGTGGGTTTGATAAGTTGACATATAAGGGACCTCTCAGCTTTGGCAAGCTGTGTCTTCTGAAAATCATTTCAAATTGCACAATCACTTACAAATTTACTCAGTAAATATTTACTGAGTGTTTACTATTGCCAAGGACATTCTAGTACGTGGGCTCCAACAATGCACAAAACAAAACTTCATGTCCTCATAATGCTTCTACTCCAGTAGGGAAAACAGAAAAATAAACTTAGACTTAAAAATAAGTAGACCAGATAATGTATTGCCTATTCGATGATGAAAAAATAGTGGGATTTCGGTGTGTGTACTCCAAATTCGGCAGCATAAAACAATTGGTATGCTGTAGTCATCCATTGTATGGGGTAGGAATTTGGTCAGGATGTAAAAGATACAGTCCATCTCCTCTTGTGCTGTTGAGAGTCTTGATGGATTCACCTCCAAGACCGAGGGCTGGAATCTTCTGAAAGTGTTTTCACTTCCATGTCTAAGGATTAATGCAGGTTGCAATGTATTTCCCATTGGAATAACAACACATTTATAGCTTCTCCTGAAGCTTGGACCTCTTCGTAGTGTGATAACCTTATAACAGTTGGACTTCCCATCTCGTGGCTCACAGCTCCAAAGAAGAGCCTCTCAGCTAACGAGATGGGAGGTGCATGACTTTCATTACCTAGACTTCACCATCACACTCCATCATTTGTACCGCATTATAGTGAGTGTAAACAAGTACAAAGTTCCCTCATTCTAGGGGCAGGGAATTTAACTCACTCTCTTGATGAAGAAGTCACTTGCCAAATTCTAGAAGAGGACACAGAAGATATTGGAAAACATAGTCTTTGGATAATATAGACCACTGCAAGAATTAACGGAAAAAGAAATAGTAGGGCAAGAGAAGAAGATGGTAGATTCCAGGAACATGAGGTAGAGGAGGTTATACAATATTAAATAGAGTTGAAGCGCAGTCATGAATGATCAAGATATTTGAAGATAGATATGGCGAAAGATATTTGTGGAAAGGGAGTTCCAAGATCAAGGGAGTAATATACCTGGTTAGTAAAAGTAGGAGCAAAGAGAGTTGATAAGGACAGAGTGAGCAGGAAGTAAAAAGAAACAGAAGATTTGATAGAAAAAAAATAGAGACCCAATGCTGAGTGCATTCAAAGCCATTGTAAGGACTTCAGCTTTATGCTGAAAGAAATGGAAAATCACTGCAGAGTTTTGAGAGGAGAGATGCTAGAGATCTGACTTTGTGTGGGGTCATTCTAGCTTCTATGAAGTGAATAGGATGCAGGGAGACATAGGTAGATGGGGTCCCTGCAGTGACTCAGGTAGAGACAGTAGAAACTGGGGCCAAGCATAGAAGGGTTGACAAGAAACTGTGAGTTCTGGGTCCACCTGTATCCCTATTTAAATGATTTGTTTTTCCCCTTCCCCTCCACAAATTATACTGACATCAAATACAGTGATAGCAGGGGTTATACTGTGGGGGAGGGACATGTAATTGTAACCCCTCTGTACAATATTTTCACAATAAAAAATAAATAAATAAGAAAAGTAGAAAAAAAGAAACAGTGAGTTCTGTATACATTTTAAAGTTAGAGCCAACAAAAGTTCCTAACATGTGGCATGTACATAATAAAAGAGAAATCCAGGATGACTCCAAAGCTATGACCTGAGCCACTAAAAGGATTTGAAGTTGCAACCAGCAAAGAGAAAATTCCAGGTAGAACAGAGCTCAGTGGAGTTCACAGTACCAATTACATCTTCACTGAGATGGCAAGAGTTTTCTGTAGGACTAGAAATTGGGAGAGAAGTATGAGCTGAAGAGAAAACTTTTGGAGTTATTGGCATATCAATAATACTAAAACCACAGATTGGATATAAACAATGATAAGGACCAAGAGCTAAAGACACTCAGAATTCCCATATTAATAAGATATTGAAGTGTTTCCCATGAGACCTGTGTTGTTCTAGGCTCTGGGAACAGAGGCTAGTTTTGGGGGAACTAGGTTTCTGGGGGAATCCAGAGCCTCTTATTGAAGAGATGCCTATAATCTGATTAGTTCAATTTCTTAGTAAAATGCCGTAAGAGAGGTACACCAGAATTACAGCAACCCAATGGTGTAGGGTATATGAAATTAAGCTTAAGGGTAGATATGTAGTAGCTTCCTAAAAGGCACTAGCCTAAATTTCAGTTTGAGAAATAAGAACCAAAATGAAAGGGGAAGTTGTGCCAAGCAGAGGAATCACAACAAGCCATGGCATCGGGATATGTGCAATGGGTTGAGTTGGGGATCCACAAGTAGTTTGATGCATAAAATATGAGAGGGGGCGTGGTGGGGCATGGGGCTGGAATTGTTCATAGGGGTAGCATGGGGGTGGAAGAGGAGAATATTTGAAAAGGACCATGAGGACCATGGAAGGAAATAGGACTTTTAAAAAAAAATAGTAATCTTGTGCTTTAAATCTGGTGGAGATCAGAACAGAGACACCAAGGGCAGATAGGCAGCCCAGCTT